TGTTGGTGATTACTTATCCGGAACCTATATTTTTAACTTCCCGCTAAAAATCTCAGATTTTCAAAAATCGGGAAGTTATTGTTTTCACCCCGTTTTGCAAAAATCGAGTTTTCATCAGATCTTGACGTTTTAAGGTCATAGGAAGCTTCCCTGATTATCCCCGCGGTGTGTGTGTGTGTGTGTGTGTGTGGATGTATGTAAACCTCTTATAACTTTTGAACGGCTTGACCGATTTGATCGCGGTTCGTGCCATTCGAAAGGGCTTGACCAAACTTAGATTTCCAATACACTTTGGACCGATTCGGACCGGTAGATTTTGAGAAATCGCAAAAAAACTACAAAAAAAAATTTTTTCAATAGTGGTTTTTTGGAATAACTTTTAAACGGCTTTACCGATCAATTTCAAAAACTAATCAGCTCTTAACATCAAAAAACTACGTCGATCGCCGCCAGTCCGGTCAAAATCGGTTAATTCGTTCGTGAGTTATCGTTGACGAAAGAAAACCGAAAAAAGCGTTTTTTCGGAATTACTTCGAATTTTTCCACTCTGTCAATATAAACTCAAAGATTTTTTATGAAACTTAAAAAACTGTATCAAACTTTTGAGCTCTTGGAGCTCAAAAGCATACAAAAGCTATTTTTTCGAGCTCGGAGAGCTCAAAATAATACACAAATTGTATTTATGAGCTCGAAGAGCTCTAAAACGTCATAAGTGCAATTTCAAGCGTTTAAGTATAGAATTGGCGGGAAGTTGCAGAGATGCCCTTCAGGGTCAACCGTATTCCTAATTTTTTTGACTTATAAATAATGAATTTTTATTGTAACTAAATTTATTCTATTCAATTGTCATTTGTTTAAAATAAATTTTTGAATTCTATTGGTTATGTTTATATACTAGGCAGATTTCTTCACTTATGAACCCTGCAATTTTTTTAACTGAAACTTTCAATGCTCATTACAAATTTTTTTATTCAAATCAATTATTATTCATTTTTGTAATAAACACAAGGAAATGTTATAATGATTGCACATTGAAAGTTACAATGAATATTAGCTAGAATAATTACATGAATGAAAGGTGCATGCCAATTCGATAGAATTGAGAATTTGTGCAAGTCAAAACAATACTCTAATTAAATTTCAAGTCTAGATCTAAAAATTCAATTCTATAAAGCGCCCAGCGGAGCGGGCAAGTAACAGCTAGTAAATTTATATATTTGAATATTATTTATACCTCAAACTTACCTCTCTTGTAGGGAGACGATTCAAAGCACCTGCGCCCTCTTGTAATGGTTATCTGATCTAAGAGATAAAATTCTGAGAATAAAATAAATGGAAGAAAAAATGGGTCTGTTCAGCGAAACTAAGATCCTAAATAAAGTTAGTAAGAATAAGTATAGTAAAATATGCTTTGACTATACTAATTCTTACTAAATTTACTCAGGACTCAGCTCGGCTGAACAGACCCAATGCGGCCTCAACGTATGAACGCATTTCTAAGAACGTGCGACCCTACAATCTTTTCTACAGTAAATCTGACTCACTATTGCGTATCATTTCATCTTATAGAATGTGTTTTTTTCCTCAACACCACAGTTTGACTCCAAAACTCATGGGAGTCACATCGTTTTATTTTCCGTGAGCTTACAGTTTTACTCAAGGCTTAAATTCGAATTACTTTAATATAAAATATTCTTTAAAGTTAACAGACAATTGTTTAAGAAACTTTTAATTAACTAGTAATGAATAATTTTTGTAAGTTAAGTTTTGTTGTATCAAAAGTAAGTTAAAAATTTGTATCAATACTTCTAATAGTTGTTAGAACTGAAATTTTTCGACACTCCTATTTCTATCTTGATTAAATTCCATAAAATTTTATCTTTTTGTTCAATCTTAACTAATTTATTAATATTAAATTTTATCTTGAACTTTATTTGAATTATTTTTGTTTGATATGATTCAACTTATTGAATCGACCTTTCAGTAAGTATAAAATTAATTTTTACGTCACCTAAAATGAAGTGACTAACGATTTTTCGGCTTTTATATAATTGTATTCTTTATGACAATAAGATTGCTTCCACTTTTTACTTGCTTAACGAAATAGGGTCTGAAACAACGTTGTAACAAAAACAACTGTTGAAATATTTAGTGCGCATGCGCCTGAACCTACGCATGCGCATTGGTCATTTAGTGATCCGTTTGCGGATAACTTCAAGTTGCTACATGAGTAATCGTAAAATTATTAGATTTACTACTTAGGGCCAGTTTTTCAACCCCGGGTTTAAGTATTTTATCATTATGAATATATCTATATATAATAGATACATAAATATATTCACAATAATAAAATACTTAAACCCGGGGTTGAAAAACTGGCACTTAGAGACCGAAGTCGTACTTCTTTTTTGGCTTATAATGAAAACTTCAGTACTTCAAATCTTCATTAATTTTTTTATATAAAATCTTATTAAATAAAGATAAATTTTTCGAGTAATTTTTTTGGTTCAAAAATTTTCAAATTGAATTATTTTTTTTTTCATTATAAAAAATTTTTAAATAATTTTCGACAAACTTTAATTCAATATTTTTTTGAAGTACTTTAAGGATAATAAACTTTGCAATCTCGAATTTACTATCAAGAGCTCAATTAGAGAACAAAAAATATCTTCTTAGGATTAAAAAAAGATCATTTTAAGTTGCAGATTAAAAATCTTTTAAGATATTCGGAAATTTTCCAAATGTTTCCTCAACGGATGTCTACATAATAAGAAATAGAAAAAAATGTATAAATCATAAAAAAAGACTTACAATTGGAATCGTAAAATTTAAATAGTTTGCTAGCTTAAAGCGATGCGGGTAATAACAAGTGTCATTACTTGAATAAGGTCTTTAAATATTATCTTTTATGATAATTACACGGTAGGAATGTAACATAAGGTTGGGATAGGTTACTGAAGATTTCCGATAATCTCTAAGTGAAGCTTACAAAGTAACCTTGAAATCATTAAAGCAGAAGGTAATTATTTCTTCCCACTTTTTTAAAAAAAATCCTATTTAAACGGAAAAATTTCCAAATTCGCTCTTTAGTTCAAGTTTGGTGCTTTACATGTCTAAATGATCAGTTTTTAACAAGTTTTTTTCATGGTGTCTCATCAAAGTAATAGAAGTCTTTACAAAAAGGTAACTTTACATTTTTTTCGAAATGCGCCTTAAATAAGAATGAAATTTTTTGATTGAAGTTTCTAAATTAATAAGAAGTATATACTTCATTAGTTGTCTTTTGAAGAATAAAACGTTTTCAATCTTTATGATTTATAATTCAAATAGCTTCTCAAAAGATTTTGGACAATTCTCTTACAAAAGTTTCCAATTTTTGTAATTTATAATTTAATGAGCTTCTCAAAAATTTTTTAATAATTTGCTTGGATTCTAATATTTGCACCTCCCTAATAAGAAACGACTGTAGGAAATTATGGATAGATAATTGTGATTTAAATAAATAAAACGCAGTGATTTAAGTTTTATATTAAATACTTGGTCTTTATTTAAAAGACTGCGTTTTAAAAAGCATCCTTACGCTTGAGAGAGTCAGTTTATACTAACTAAAACTAAAAAAAATATTTTACAATGAGGTCTAAACTTCTCCTTTAGGATCATAAAAATTCCATATGTTTTTACCCTAATATACGTAAAACTCTGTAAGGAAAGAGTACTCATATTAATACAGAAAGAGTCCTTGTGTGACACATGTGTCAGGGTAATAAAACAGAGCTAAGAATAACTTTCCCTTTCTGAGAAATACTTCAACTTAAGTTTCTAGCCTAAATATCTAAGCGTAAAGCTAAAATAAAAAAATTAAGAATTATAAACTAAGACTAGTATACGTTGCGCGCACAAATGCGCGTCTGAATGTTAGTAAGGAATTATATATATTTTTCATCTGAATTATAAGAGTGGATTCATTTTTGTATGGAGAATTCAACAGTTACAAACAAAATATCAAAAATTGATATATATAGATCGATAGCTATTGTCACGCTTTGAGCATCGAATATCATATCACACGCGTATCTATCAAAAAACTTCCAGTAAACGTTCATAGCAAACTGCTGCAAGTACAGTTGGTGAATTTAATGCTCATCGTTTTAAAGATGTATGAGCAGGGGTGGGAAGAATAGTGAATTTTTATAAGCAGGAGTAAGCTTGAATAATATATCGATGGTTTTCTAACGCAACCTCGTATCCCAAAAATGATAATTTTAGAGATGAGGTGAAAAATAGCTTATAAAAAATTAATATTCATCTAAAAACAATATTTATCAATTGTATTTTCTAAAAATACTATCGTATTTATTATTAATCTGGTTAATATTTTTTTTAGTAACGCGTTTACAATTATTTATTAATTTTTCAGTTGAACCCTTTGATCTTCAAAATTCGAGATACGTGGTTTCGTTAGAAAACCCTCAATATTCTAGAAACAAAATGATAGAAGAGTAACCATGTACATTAAAAGTACATAATTAGTTTATCGTAAACCAAGAAAAGTTATCGAAAATTTTTGACTCATAGAAATAATCGAGAATAATCAAGCAACGATTGCACTGTATGAAAACTCGACAACGTTTTTCATTTTCTATAATCTTTCAAGTTTATATTGATAAAAGTTTATTTTTAGCTACAATCTACATAGAGCTAATGTAATTTACATTTTTTTCCAATCTTAATGCAGAATACATGTCATATCGCATGTTTTTGCTTTAGTCAATGATTTGCATAGTCTAATGATTCATAAAAATAAAATAGAAAATTGCACACGTACTTTGTGCATCGGTATTTGTCAATAATCTCACGGTTTCTCTCCAATCCTCCAAGTAATATTATAAACAAAAAGATAAAACACAATTTGATATCATTTTTAACATAAGAAAAGTTTAAAGCGTGTGTCTAAATGTTTATTAGTAAAATCATTCATAAATTAATAATTTATACTGGAATTAAGGAAAGTATGAGTCAAGAATTTTCATAGCTACTTCAATCCCAAAAAAACAAGTTGCGTTAGCAGGAATCGCACGAATCATAATTGGTACAACTCCTCGATAAAGTGCCCAAGGCCCTTCTTGACGTAAAATTTCAGGAAGCAAAGATCTCATGCCACGTGGATATTCATCAATTGACGAGGTTTGCAATCGAGACTTGAGTACATCTGCAGGCATAGCAACGACCCAGTTAATCATGCCAGCGAATCCTCCGGCGAATATTGAGTGCCACATCAATGTCTATAATTTTATGAGATATTAATCGTTTAATATATGTATTGATGTATAAAAATCCATTATATAGATTACTTCTTTAAAGTGATTAGCGAATAATCTCATTAGAATATCGTAAACACTGAAATATACTCCACTTGCGGGTAGGTCACGCAATATTGTTGCACTAGTGCCTACATAAAGATTTTTTACACCGCCGTTACGGTAAAGTTTTAGAGCGCAGTCCATAAATCCATGGAATAATGTTTTTTTGCCAATCTAATGGAGTAATAAAAGTTTTACTTCAATAATATTGTTTTTAATGCAATTTATAGTAGTTTTAATTTTCAAGATATTTTTATATCGCTTCAATACTGCAAATTAAATTGGATTTTTATTACAGATTTTAGAGTGTAAAAATTCCCGAGAAAATGAGGGATTAAACTATCTTTATTATTTATATTTCCCAGGTAAAAAGTAACAGACCTATTCAAATAGATCTTCCGAAAATCTAACCTCAGGTATAAAACTAAAATCAGTCTTACTAATCCAGGTCAAAAAAAATTTTTTATTGCTGTGACCTTGGCTGGGATTGGTTAATTTTCTCGTATTAACAGACCTCCTTTAAGATTAACCAACAAGAATTGGGATTTTATTGTCTCTAAATACTTAGGATAAAAAAAATCCGACCGATTTCAAGAAAAAATAGTTAAAAACCTATTATACAATTATTTACCATCTATTTAAGCCTCTTAAGAGATTTTCTCGCATGCTAATGCTATAAAAAAAAACCCTCAAAGAAAAAAAGTATCATCTTCACACTTAGAGTGAGAAGAGTCTGTTTAAAAATTTACTTTGCGCATGACAAAAGAGAATTACATACGAACGCATTGTGACACAGACTTCAGTTGCGACCGGTTGACCATTCAGTTAAGAAGTACGCTTTGAGTGCACTATCATTGCTATTAAATAAGTTATCAAACACTTGACTTCCATAACACACTGGATATATGTAATAACTTGGAACATTATCTTTTATGTCTTCTTGACAGTAACCTATATAGTTTAAGTGCTTTTTGACAGAGCGGTATACGTTTTAGTAGTATTATCAAAGTTTGCCTATCAATATTGCCATATCATAGTTCCTGTACTTGTAACTATGTAATATTGTCATAAAAACCCGATCGACCCCTCTGAATACCGCTTATCCCTTGTATATTATCCGTTCTGCACTTTAACGAGCTCTAAATGGTTTATTGCACTATCCTTCACCCAAAACGCAACAAAGGTGTTCATACTTATAGATATTGAGACCATTAAAAAAAATCAGTCTTCAAAAAAAAATTTCTATCTGCTAATAGGATTATTTTTGCAACCACTTGTTAGATGTGAGATGTCTGCTAAAATTCAAAATTTTTGCTTTTCTTTTCAATATATTTCACTCTTTATTTTTACTTTACAATTTATCGTACCCTTGAAGTCTGTATAAGAGAAATCCGACCCCTTTCCCACAATTTGATGAAGTTCTTATGAATCATCCAGATAACCCGAATGACCCGGACATAATAACGACTTTGTTTGCTCAAAGTCGTAAATTTAAGACCTATGAGGCAATAGCTGAAAATACGCATGATTCTTCTGGATTTCGATAAATGTGGAAAGGGCTGCTTATCATTTTAAATTTAATTAACATATAAAACATATGCAACCGCCATTGTTCCTAACCCTATATAAACCGCCCGGAAATTATTTTTAGGCAGTTCGATTCCGACCAAGATACTGGTTAGCTCCGCGGCGATCTGCTCTAGGCAAATAATTTTTCGAAAGCACATAAAACTACGTAATATACGAATCAGTGTCTTGCTTGTGGTTACGTTACATTTAGTAGCATTAACGTGGTAAATTCATTCGATAATTCGATATTTGCCGTAATTAGATTTCAATTTTTATTAATTTTCCGGCATTGAGCGTTGAATTTTACTTGGTGAGTCGCGAAGTGTATTATGTTCCGCCAAAAAGTGTTGATCATTTATGTTTTATCAATTTTATTTATTTAATTATTTCCTCAAAAAATAAAACTTCAACTAAACAATAGAATAAGTTACTCGTGACCAAAGTCAGCAAAGATTTATCACCCTTACTCTTTCTAAGTTAACACTTAGAGATAACGTTCAAGCTTGTGTACCGCTCCACATTCCAACGCAATTTTTAATTTGGCTCCCGAAGGGACAAAGTGACAACGTTCAGATATTTGAAATTTCTATTTCATAACTCCTTACTCCCATCAATGACCTTGAGATTACAATTTAGCTACCAACAGGTTTGTTAAATTATTCGCTTACTTGCATTTGCAGTAAGCACTTGACACGTTCTCCCGGCACGCTCAACGGAATGGTAGCAAGTCCGCTGAACATTCCCGCCAGAAATAATTGAGATACTGACAAGTCTTCCTTGCGTTGGTTTGGCTCTGCTACTAATTTCTTCCCTAAACTGAAGCTAAAGAAACTCAATCCAAATATTGGGACTATTCCTACTAAAGGTGCCATCATGCCCTGCATTAATTATTGAAAAAAATGGGTGAATTTAATAGTGACTGATTAATTAATCAAAAAAATACTTTGTATAATCCTGAAGGTCCTTCTTGGTGAATTATTTTGAACATCGCATCCCAAGTATTTCTATACTCACTTGGCTTAGATTGCATTCTTACTTTTATAGTATCCAAAGGATGCCCACACAAAGTAGTACATAGTCCACCAAAACCACCCGCTACGATATTCATCTGTAATTACTATTGATATGCAAACCCATAAGATGATTCGACATAAAATGATTTTATTTTTACACTAACCAATGAAATATTTTCCAGGCGGACGATCTCGCACTAATAATACTCTTGTCCTATCTTCCTCGGGGTATAAATTTGCCGGATTTTTATTATTTAAATCCATTTTTGTAAGTTAATTTAGATAAAAAATTTAATTTTTGGATTAATTTCAAAATTTAACCTTCACACAAATTTGGAGACGTAAAAAAATCATTAGTACCTACGGATATAATTAATTTAATATGATACTAAAGTTAGCCGACGTTTTTAATTATTTTATTTTTTTATTAATAATTAAATTAAAACAAAAAAATATTTTTAAAAAATTTCACTTACAGTTTTTAAAGTTTTTTACAAGTGACATTTTTTAAAAATTTTTTTGTAATGATTTTTACAATAAAAAAAAATTCTAAAAATTTTTAAATGTCGGCTAACTTAATTTTCATAATTTAATTAATATAATTTAATTAATTTAATTGAATCAATTTACTTGAATTAATTTAATTAATTAATTATTTAAATGTTATAAATAAGTGATAAAAATTAAGGAATTTTAACTTTTAGCTTAGATTACGTTTCTTTCATATCGTATTGCATCACTTGAATTTCAATATATCAGCATTCTAAGTTTCATTGTGCTAAAATCCAATCACACATGTAAATTAAGCTTGGTAATCAATTTTACAGACATATTGAGTTGCGTTGAAGCTTGATACATTTCTTTTAATAATTTTACTTTATCACATGTTTTATTTTGCCCACACACGTCAAGCCATTATTTATATTTAAGGCTTCATATTATATATTATTTATTTTCATAATAATAATAATAATAATATTAGTAATGATGACGAGAATAATAATAGTAATATCTGAGACGCAATTTTTTCTGACAGCTAATCTTTTGTTTTTAGTTTCACTCTAAGAAACAGTATCATATATCGTGAGAACAAGATAAAAAATATTTCTCGCTGAAAAAAATTTAATTGTAGATTGATAAAAGAAAGGATGTTGATATTTCGAGTAAATTATAAATATAAGATCAAATTAAATAACATTTACACCCTGTGAGAGCGATTATTTGTTTGTTTGACCTTCCTTTAAAAAGGAATGAGATAACCCTTTTTTATTTAATACTTGTCAGCAGATGATTGATAATTTTTTAAGAAATGAATTATGTCAAAAAAAAAAATAAAAATTGACATTTAGAAATGAAATAAATTAAAAAATGACACTGAAGTCAACTGACATTAGAAACTTTTTTATAATTTTATAGAAATTAAATTATTGTGAAAAAAAATTTAATTAAAAAATGTCACATGTTAAAATTAAAAAAAAAAGTAGAAATTTTTAAAACATTCTTTAATTGAAATTTATTTTTTGTAAAAATCAAAAAATTGACAGCTGTCAGCTAACTTCAGATTTATTTAAAAATGCAATTTTTTTAAAATAATTTTTTCGAACAAATTTGTTTGAAGAAAATTAAAAAATTGTTAAATGACAGCTAAATTTAGTCATTAGTTTTTAAATTCTAAATTAAGGATTTAAAATTTAACAAGTAATTATTAAAAAAAAAAAAAATTAAAATTTATTTACCTCTTTGCAAATTTGTGTGAAAAGTAAAACTCCAAGTAGACAAGTAGTCCATTGAAAAAAAAAATATTATGTAATGAAATATTAAATATGCAGATGCCGCTACTTACTCATCGCTCTTTAATTTGTAAAAACTCGTGGTGGAATCAGTCGAATGTGTGAAGCCGTAATGAATGGAATGAATTTCGTTGTTTTGGTCCCGGAGAAGGGTTATATATAAACGTTGACGGAAAATCTCACAAAAACGGAAAAAGATTGATAGTTAAGATTCAGTTAAGAAAATGTCTCCAAACAAAATACCTAACGGCGCATTAAATCCCTGGCAGCGCATTTTCTATTCGCTTAAGCGAAAATACAGTTACAAGCGACGTTTCCGTCAAGTGGGTCCACATTTTTGTTTTTTTTTTTTTTTTTTTTTTTTTTATTTCTATCTCCTACTTTATTTTTAATAATAGAATTAATTTTTTATAAACTCTTTCATTTATCATTAATATTAATTGACATAAAATTACATTCTGATCATCCTTAAAATGTTTCAGGCGAAAAAAAAACTTGAGCGTAAGGGCTTATCTCAAAGAAGGATTGATAAATGTTTACGACAACTAGAGTGTCAACCAAAAGTGGTTGTCGAACCATTGAAAATTCATGGTTTTCGCTATTTTAAACGGTTAGTTTTGTGTTTTAACATCTTCTGTGGCTCATAAATCTAACAACAAGTATAGTTTTAACTTACTGACCTATTAATAAGTAAATATCAGGTTGTATTTACATTTGTAAGTTAAAAATCCGTGATTTACTCTTATTTTTATAATTTACTCTAATTTTTTTTAATTTATATACTAACAAATTTTCATTTCAAATTACAAAAAAAAAATATGAAAATTAAATTAGCTGATATCTAAAAATTTTAAGAATTTTTTTAACAAATAAATTATTGCAAAAAAAGTTACAAAAAAATATGACGTAAAAATTTTAAAAACTTAAAAATGCAATTTTTTTTAATTATTTTTTTGAACAAATTTATTTGTTAAAAAAAATTAAAAAATGGTCAAGTGACTGCTAAATTTTTATTTATTTATTTATTCTATGTCATAAAAAAAAATAATACTATAAAGTTAGCCGACGTTTTTAATTTTTTAATTTTCTTAATTAAATTAGAACAAATAAATATTTTTTATAAATTCCATTTACAGTTTTTCAAGTTTTTTACAAATGAAAATTTTTTTGCAATAATTTTTTCAATAAAAAAAAATTCTAAAAATTTTTAGATGTCGGCTAACTTAATTTTCATAAAAAAATATATTCTGTAAATTAAGAGTTTTAGTAACTGATGATAATTTATGACACTGAAGTTGACAGACATTAGAAATTTTTTTAGAATTTTATAGCAATTAAATTATTATAAAAGAAAATTTGATTAAAAAATTCCACATGTGAAAATTAGTAAAAATTTTTTTATTGTAATTAATTTGTTAAAAGAATTTTTAAAATTACTGCAGTATCATGATAATTTTATTTTTTATTGAATAATGTTTTTTTAAAAAACATTAATAAAAATTAACAATTAAATAATTGATACTATGCTCTGTTCGTAATTTAAAAAACTTATTTTTAAAAAATATTAAAAAAAATTCATCAGATACTAATGATGACTGATGACTAACTCTTTCTGTAATTATCAAGATTACTTATCATAATTTATTGGCTCATAATTCAGAGGGCTAGTTCTTCAATCCGAGATAAAAATTTTATCCTATGCCAATAAATCTCTATAAATATATTTTATATTTATAGATATACTGGCAATCATAATTTTATTCCTGGATAAAATTTTATCTCGGATTGAGAAACTGACCCTGAAAGTAACAGACGTCTGACAATTGTTTTATTTTTTTTTAATAAATGATAAACTATTGGTAAAAAAAGGAAGTCTGATGCTTTCATACTTTTTTATTTATAAGTTTTTTTTAGTAGATAAGTTATTATTTAGATAAAATTGTCACATAAAATTATTTTATAAATATATTAGATTAGATACTTTTTTTTATATTTTATTAACTTTAAAAAATTATTTATTTTTTAATCAACAAAAATTTTAATTTTGTTTTTTTTAAATTAAAAAAAAAAACAAATTTTTCAATTTTTAAACAAAAGGTTTGAATTTTTATGACAATAGTGTTAGCTGAATTAAAAAAATTTTTAGAATTTTTTTTATTGAAAAAATCTTAAAAAAAAAAATTTTTTTTTAAATTTAATTTGTAAAACTGTAAGTACAATTAAAAAAAATTTTTTTAGTTTTATTTAATAAACTAAAAAATAAACAATGTTGGCTAAATTATAATACTAAAATTAGCCGACGTTTTTAATTTTTTAATTTATTTAATTAGAACTAAAAAATATTTTCAAAAAATTGCACTTACAGTTTGTTTTTTATAAATGAAAATTATTTAAAAATTTTTTATAATAATTTTTTCAATAAAAAAAATTCTAAAACTTTCAAGAAATGTCAGCTCATTTTATTATTATAAAATTTTTTTATTCATTATAAAAAATTCCAATAGAAATTAAATTGAAGTTTTTCCAAGTATCAATTAGTTACGGCAAAATATAATATAACAGCTACGCAATGTGTTGTGTTAACAACCTAAAAACTGTCTCTGTGACTTGTGAGGATTAAAGATAAGATTAAGGGTAGCTCAAGTCAAACAAGTGACTAGCGTAGCGAAAAGTGAGAGAAAAAAAAAGACTACTATGCAGATAGAGATAGTATCAGTAAGCCAGCTGACAGATTAAAGTAATGCGCATGCAAGTTAGGAGAGGGGGTAAAACAAGTTCCACGATCTTACACTGTTTATCTTCACTTTTACTCTTGACTATTACAATAGTATAGTGTTATATATTATATTCACAAGATGTTTACATATATAGACCTTTGTTGAGACTCCCCCTCCCCTTGCGACCAGCATGCGGCGTAGGTTGTAGGTAATAAATATATACCTAAATAAGATGACTAGGGTCTAGTTCAGGGTAGCGCTTACGCTTGCTTCCCTCTCCAAGATATTTTACTCTCTCATTTATTCTTTTTTTCTCTGAAGCCTAAAGCACACCACGATGCAAGCCACCAGTCGGCATTTGTGGCTTATGACGTTATGTCGGCAAGTTTTATGTTAAAGACGTCTAAAATTATTTATTATTTTTTATATTAAAACAGTGCATTAATTTATAATTTATTAAATATTTTATGTGACAATTTTTTAATTATTAAAAATGTTTTATCAACATAATTATGACGCAGTATTTTACACTGGCATATCCAGTTCTAAAAAAGAAACTTTTGAGAATATTAAAAGTGATATTATTAAAAATGATAATTTTTTTAATAATGATAATAATGAAAGTAAAGTGGAAATAAATGACGATAAAAATCTACTGAACTGTGATGATAAAAAAGATATTAAAACAGAATTAAGTGATACAAACCCGATTGAAGACGAGGAAAAATTACAAGCTGTAATTGTGCAATACTGTACTGATGTGGAATGGAAAAAACGATTTAAAAAAATTACATTTTTACCTGTAGTGCCTTACAGTCATCATGACATGCCGTGCTCGGTTGATCCAAGGAGAATCCGTCAGTGTATGAAAGCGTGTTTTAGCTTGTTATTAAAAACTTTACCGAAATTTGATGAGACTATTGATTGTGATAATTATTATTCTTTTTTAAAATCACCGACTAAAGTTATTATTAAAAGTGTTGAAGAAAAGTTTTATTGGAAAGACGATATTTTAGCTGAGAATTTTTTAATTAATGATTGTGCTTTCAGTCATGATGGGGGGTTAGTCAGGTAGATTTATAATTTTATTATTTATGGAGATAATTTAGTAGATATTAAATTAGCTGACACTCAAAAAAAAAAATGTATGATATTAAAGTTGGCCGACATTTTTAATTTTTTTGATTTTTTTTTTTTTTAATTAAATTGGAAAAAAAAAATTTTTTTCAATTGCGCTTACAGTTTTTAAAGTTTTTTTCAAGTGAAAAAAATTTTTTTTTTATTTTTTTGTAATCATTTGTTATGAAAATGAAGTTAGCGGACATTTAAAAATTTTTAGAAATTTTTTATTGAAAAAATTTCAATTAAAAAACTAAAAAAAAATTTCACATGTAAAAAAGTTAAAAAACTATAAGTGCAATTTTTTAGAAAAATCTTTTTAGTTGTAATTTAATTAATAAAAATAAATCAAAAATTTTTAGACGTCTGATAACTTCAATGTCATTCATTTTTTCAATAAAAGAAAATTCTAAATATTTTTAAATGTCGGCTAAATTAACTTTCATCAAAAATGTATAATAATTAAATTAGCCGACATTTTTTATTTTGCTTCATTTAGTGAATTATAACTAAAAAATATTTTTATAAAATTGCACTTAAAATTTTTCACAAATGAAAAAATTTTTTTATAATAATTGATTTTTTTATTGTTGATGTTTGATTTTTACTAAGTAAAAATTAGAACTAAAAAAGTATTTTTAAAAAATTCCACGTGTATTTTTTTAATTTTCTACTTGTGAAAATTTTTTTTTTTAATTTTTTAAAAATTATTTTTCAATAAAATAAATTATAAAAATTTTCTAATGGCTAATTTAATTTTCATCAGATATTAAATAATTTTTTTAACAAATAAATTATGGCAAAAAAAAAATTGAAAATTCAATTTTTTTTTAATTATTTTTTGGAACAAATTTGATTGTTAAATAAAACTAAAACATTCTTTAAGGGGGTATTCTGGTCTAGAAATTTGAAAAATTCGAATTATTTTTTTTCGCATATCTGCAAAGTTTAGACCCTTAAAAATATGTCCTTGAGTGGATTTTTAAAAATCCGAATTATTTTCGGAGATACCGAGGATTTTGTGACGCAGCTGCTTCTGCTTCTGCTTCTTCAATAGAAGGCAGAACAGCTCGATTAGCAGAAAGAACTTCGCAAAACATCGAGTAGGAAGTAGAAGAAGGCTCAATTTACGGATCTGGGATTCGCGATTAATCCAAAGTGAATATTAAATATTATTATGAGTTATTTTACTGAAATCGTTTCTAAAACTTTAAACGCGATTTTCTCGAAACTACTTTTTTTAAAGTGATTGACATGATATCTTAAGTTCTACCCCACCGATTCCTTTGAAATTTAGTGGGAATTTGTTTTATATATCTCTCTATCGCGTCTGCTATGAAAAAAATGCCTAAAATTTAGGCTTGTAGACCAGAATACCCCCTGAATAACTGCTAACTTTATTGTCATTTATTATTTACTTTAAAAGCAAATTTTTAATTACTGTCATTAGGTTGAATGAGTAACAGAATTTTTAATTATAGCTATTACGAGTTATTTTAAAAGATTTTTTTTATAACCCTGAATATTGATAAAATTTGAAGAAATATATATTTGTAATTTTTTTTAATTACGCTTTGCCTAATATTTGCCTAAGATAATGTGCTGTTGAAATATAAATGTAATGAGTTTGTAATTTTTAAAATCTTAGGGTCGTAAAAATATTAACTGTTTATTTTGGGATTAAGAATGTATTAAAATTTACTTTGGGTCCGTTATGAAGATAAAAAATGATAGTGAATTTTTTAATTCTTAACTAAAATTTTTAGTTTAAATTTACGTTGGGTTAATGCTTAATACTTAAGAAGAAAGTTTTTTTTTATTTACTTGTAAGATTAATCTTATTTATAAGTTATAAATACGGGAATATTTTATCTTTCTAAACATGTTCAATTAGTTAACAGTTTTTAGCTACGAATAATAAGGAAAAAAAAACTAAAAAATTAGATTTTTAAATTTTCATAAACAAATTATTTATTATAATAATTGAGGTTCATTTTAAAAATGTTTAACTTTTCTGTTTACATAAAAATCGATCGTTTATTACTAATTAATAATAATTATATTTAATGTCATTTTATTTTTATTTTATTTTAGAAATATAATTTCTGTAAAAACTGTTGTAAAATATCAAAAATTAAAACACCAATTTTTAATTTTTTTTATTTTCAAATCAGTTAATTATTTTTTTTTATCATTATTAATTACTTCATAGAAAAAAAAAAGAAAGTCAAATTTTTTTTAACAATAAACGGATCGAATAAAATGGATTTTTTTAATTGATTTTATTTTAATAATACGATTTTTTATATAAATTTTATTTTGAAAATAGAAAAAAAAATTTATCATAACAAATTATTGCAATTCTATTGTGCGCTAAATTTTTATTTATAATTTATAAACACTATTCCGTGCTGCACATGAGTTAAAAATAAATGAGCACTAGGGTAAGGATAGACAGTAGCTGTAACGTGAAAAAAAAAAACAGAACTGTTGTCACGTCACGTAATATTTAATAATAAATAGAAATACACTTCTAAATACAATCAATAGATATAAATTTAATATAAACTATTGACAGCATTTATTCTTACTTTAATTTTTATTTTATTCATTTTCAAATAATATAAATAAAATTTTTTAAATCATACATTTACTATTTTTACCGCTAGTTTAAAGCAAAGCGCTAAAAATAATTTATGGATTTTAAAATTTTTTATCAAATTTAATTTATTTAATTCTTCAAGTTTGCAAAACTTGAAACATATTCAATTCATTGTGTTTCTTCAATGCAATTTTTAATGAAATATTTCATCAACCTTATTCATTTTTAATCCTGAACTCATTAATTTCCATAACTAACAAACCTGTCGTAATTTTTGACACTAAATTGCCAATTTTCATCAAATTAAATAACTATAATATCATTACGTAAAAAATTGAAAAAATTCAATTACAAAATTTATAGATAAAATTGTTTTGAACTTTTTTCTATGGAAACAGTTACTGTGTTAACTTATTTGCTCGCTGATTATTGATCAATTGCAATAAGTTTTTCAACAGTTAAAAACTTTGATCTTATTTTCCCTTTGCAAATCATTTTTTTTATAAACTTATTAGCATGAAAATAAAACTTTTTTTGCTGAATATTGTAAGAGCAAGTATTCTATAGCCACATTCATAAATAATGATAGAACTTGATGATTATTATTAAAAAAAAAATATATATATACATACTATACATGCGTTTACTAATAAATCATTTTGAAAATGCTTACAAATAAATATTAAATCTAAAAAAATTTTTTTTTACTTACAGATCCAGTGACAATAAAGATGACGAGTCGGATGATGCGGAATCCATAGGATCTTCTGAAGAAACAGAAGATAGATCTGAAAGTACAGAAGACTCATCAAGTGAACAGGTATCAGAATCTTCAGATGAAATTGATGCGTCTGAAGATACATCTCGATCAGAAAATTTAGATAGATCTGATAATAACTTACCTGAATCCGTAGAAAATATAAATGATCGAGTTACTGTAGATGAATGTCCAGAATTGTTAGATGAAGCTGTAGGGCTAACGTCGCATGTACCTTTTCAACCTAAAAAATCTCTTATTAAATTGAAAAGTAAGCGATTTAATCAAATTAGCGATGAGATAGTTAACGTTGATGATTCATCAGTGATTAATGTACCTGATGTAGAAAATATTGTTGAATCTTTGAATGAATCACCAAATTCTAATTTAAAAATAACATTTAAAAAATTACACGACGGGACATGGCACAATAATAATAATAATAATAATAATAATAATAATAATAACATATCAAATTTAAATGAAACTGAGATAAGAGAAGAAAATTTAGCTAAATTTGAACCAAAAGAAATTATGCCATCGCAAAAAATTCCATCAACACAAGAATCAAATGGCAAGCGACGTATATCACGTATTAAAAGCTCAAGACATAATCCAGAACAAGTTGAAATAGATGCTAAGCTTAAAAGATTGAAAAGAAAGGTTAAAGTTGACAATAATAAAACATACATTGTAAAACCAAAATCCTCATCAACTAATTTCACTAAAAAAAGGATTCAAAAAACAAAAGATAAGGAGACTAGAACTCAGAGTAATGATAATCAATCTCTAAATCCTTGTAGACCATTAATAATAGAAAATCACACACCTTTTCATACCGATGTGATATATTCAACTCCTCTCAAACATGATCCCGTTATAAGAACAAAACACTTTGTCCGTAGAAGTAACAAACTTGAAGATCATTTTGGCAAGCCGGCAGATGAGAACGAAAAGGAAGAAAATGCTAGACTTATTGCTGAAAGTGAACAAGCTGCACGGGTGAAATACTCACGCAGATCTGTAGATTCTGGAATTTCAGTGCGTGATACATCACCAGTGGATTTGCCGACGCGTGATCTTGAGGAAGACGAGGACGACGGGATTGAGGATTTTGATAACTTTAATATGAAATCTTATCGAGGAAGTTCTTTAGAAAGAAGAGGGAGTTCGAGTCCGAGACAGTCGTTGAGTCATAGGTGTGAGCAATCTGATAAGAAACATTATTCTTCACCTAGATCTAATGAAAAATTGAGTAAAGATAAGAGGAATAAAAATTCTGAGAGATATCGTTCGAAAGACAGCTCCAGATCTCACAAAGATTGTTCAAGAGATAGAAGTTCTAGAGACAGTTCCAGATCTGATCGAAATTGTTCCAGAGACAGTAGTGTAGTGTCTGATAGAGATCGATCGAGAGAAAGGAGTTCTAGATCTGATAGAGATCGTTCTAAAGATAAAAGTTGTAGATCTGATAGAGATTGTTCTAAGGATAAAAGTTCCAGATCTGAATCTGATAGAGATCGTTCTAAAGATAAAAGTTCTAGATCTGATAAGGATCGTTCTAAAGATAATAGTTCCAGATCTGATAAAAATCGTTCTAAAGATAGAAATTCTAGATCTGATAGAGATCTACCAAGACCTTCAAACAGTAGATCTGCTACAGAACACTCAGAAAAAGTTATAAAACTTGGTAGAAGTTTATCAGGATCAGAACTAACATCTAGATCTAAGAAAGATAGTCTCCTTGGATGTGATAGCTCAAATAATATGGATGATGAAATAAAATATCGTATTGCTAAGCAATTGGAAGGAATGGCTCGCAATGAAGTTAATTACTTCAAAAAAATCCAAAGCCGGATTCGTAAACGTAGAAATTCTCTACAATCTGCTAGCAAGAACTCAGAATTACATTCTTCGACTAGTGAAGAATGTAGTTCATCTAAACAAAGAAGAACTTTATCTAAAAACACTTCTGGCTGTCAATCAATTGATATTTCTCCAGATTCTCCTGAAGATGTCCATATATCTAGCCCAGGTTTACCATCTCTTTCACCTCTTCCGCAAGATATGAACACTGACGTACAAATTGGCTCGGAAGAAATGGTAAAAGATAATAGTGATGTGTTAAGTTTGCCGGTTATTGTTTCGTTTGAAGAACCTTTAATTGATGTTAACACTGATCAAGTATCTTTACCTACTTGTGATAATTTTTCAGTCGGTACAAATATTATTAATATAAACTCAAACGATTTACCTGAAAGTAATATTATGGATGATATTATTGATATTATTAGCAAAGATTCTGAGGAAGATAAATTAAAATCTAGCAATTTATTTATTAATCAGCTAGAATTATGTTCCAAGTTACCTTCAGAATCACCGGGACAATTGGAAGTATTAAATCCATCTGTCCAAACAAAATCATTGGTAGCAACAGTGCCGTCAGAGTCATCATTAAACCTTCCAGCATCTAGTGAAGAAATAAAAATTGAACCTGAAAGTGAGACTCATCAACCAACTGATGAATCAAATTCAAATGAATTGACTCTCAATGATTCCAACAGGCCTGTTAATATTAAAAAGGAACCCTATGATTTTCCGGAAGATGTAGAGTGTATTACGATAGAAGATGATTTAGTAGCAATTAGAGAAGAACCAGTGGAAGAAAGTCAATTAATAGACAATATTAACTCCTTTAATATTAGTTCTCCTTCAACTTCTTCAGGATTTATTCGCGCAATTCGGCCTACAGAACTTGGCGCTAGATCGGATTGTTTTACACCAGCGCCAGCAGTGATACAAGATAGTCTGGAAACTTTCCAAGTATCTCAACAGAATATACCGAATACTCAGAAAGGTACGTTGGGGGTGTCTTTCCAACAGTCTCAATATCTGCGTGGAAGTCACAATCTTCCACCACAAGTTTCAATTCCACGTAGAGGCCGTGTTAATAAGCGACAAACTAAAAGTAATGTTAATTGTAATACTTTAGCTAATTCTTCTGAGTTGTGTGCTCGTTTGCTTTGCAATGCTAATCAATTTGATCATTCATCTCCATCATCTTCATCATCATCTTCAATACCAGCTACAACGGCAACAATATCAACAGTTACAGCGAAAACAGTAACACCACCAGCAATCATACCAACATCTGTTAGTACACAAGGTAGTATACAATTAACGATTGAAGAAATATTATTGCTTGAACAATATCTTGTCGGAGATATAGAAGCTAAGTTGTTGTCAATTCTCAAAAGTATTGACACAACAATTAAGTGCTATGAATATTTACGTAACACGCTACTAGATAATGCAAGTCGACAAAAGGGGCGAAGAAGTTTTACCCAGTGTGTTGACGCGGTGTTTGAGTTAATGAGCCAGTTAGATTTAAAAATGAAACAGCCCAGCGAACGTGACTCTGCAAGTAAGCTACTTTTTGCTTATAGCAAAAAAATTGAGAGTCCAATAAATTTAAATATAATGAACACAATTAAGTGTTGGTATTCTCAAGTGATTGATGAAATAAAATTACATGATGCTCAAGAGCCGATACAATCTGAATCATCAGCAACTACTTGTCCAGTTACTTCGAACATTAATCAAATATCACCAAATATTAATCAAGTATCAACAAATATTAATCGATCTCTATCAAATATTAATCGATCATCAACAAATGTTAATCAACCATCTCAGCAACAGCAATTGCAACAGCAAGTTTCTGAGCAACAATTACGACAGCCAATACAACCTCAACAGCAGCAACTACAACCTACTGAAAGACAATCACTACAAAAGCAGCCCCAATCGTACCAGCAACAACAAAAGCAAGACCAACAAGCGCAGCAACAATTTTTACTATTGCTACAACAAGCACAACAGCAACAGCAACTTCAACGACCACAATTAGAACATCAAGCACAAAGGCAGCGGCAATCACAACAACAGCCTGAACGAGCAAATCAACAATCAATGTTTGATCAACAATTATTAGCACAGCAATATCAACAACAACAGCGATATGTAAAATCATTTTCTCAACAACCATTTCAAAAATTTTTACACCAACAACTTCATCAAAAACAACAACAACAACAACAACAACAACAACAACAACAACAACAACAACCACAGCAGCAGCAGCAACTACAACAACAACCACAGCAGCAGCAACTACAACAACAACAACAACCACAGCAGCAATTACAACAACAACAACCACAGCCACAGCAGCAACCACAACAGCAGTATAATAAACAACGGCCACAAATTTCCCAGAAAAAAAGTAATTCTTCAACGCAACAGCAGCAGCAGCAGCAACAACAACAACAACAACAACAACAACAACAACAACAACAACAACAGCAGCAGCAGCAACTACAGCAACAACAGCAGCAGCAACTACAACAGCAGCAGCATCAACTACAACAACAACAACCATTAATACAAAAGCAATATCCGCTTCACCAATTGAATGAATGGTTGCTAAATCAACCTCGTCCACAACAACTTCAACAACAATATTTAAGACATCCAACACAACCATACTCTAGGCAATTACCACCATATTATCAACAACAGCAGCAGCATCAGCAACAGCAGCATCAACAGCAGCAGCAGCAGCAGCAGCAGCAGCCAAATCTACACTACAATAGTTTTTCATTGCAACAACAGCAACAACAACGACTACCACAACCGCAACCACAACCACAACTACAACATAATCAGCAGTTATACCAACCACCAATGCAACAACAATATCGACAACAGCCATCAGTTCAACAATACCAGAGTACTTTATTACAATTTCATCTGAATCAACCGTCACAATCTACATTCAATACAAATTTGCAGTCGGTACCCCCTAGACAACAATATCAAAATCAACCACTACAACTTCAAAATCAACAAGACTACGCTGTTTTAAAAGGTATATATTATTCTTTTTATTTAACAATAACTTTATTCAACTCACTAATAATTATTTTCTTTAGGAGCGCTTGCCAGTCCTACGGTTCATTCTCAACCAGCCAAAAATCTACCACCACCGCAATATCCAATGAAAAACGCCGTATATCAAATAACCCATCCATTTGATGATTCAGCAACCAATGCCCCGCCAAATTACATCGTGGGTGTCAATTCTATAACCAAGCAAGTCCGGATGGCCCCCAATAATTCAGCTGCTGGTGCTACAAGTAGTAACTTACCATCATATCAATCTGCAGTTGCTGCTAATACTTTAAAATATCCATCATCTCACTACCAAGCACCAGTTCCAATTAATACCGCGAGATATCCATCAGCAGAAGTGTCTTCTCACTCTCCATCATCAGGAAAGCTTCCAGTTTCATCTCAAAATTCAGCTTTAGTTCACACACAATCTAATCAAGTGCATCCGCTGATACAGAATCAAGTACCAGGCCAATCACAATCTTCTCAGCAAGTACCAGCTCAATATCAATCACAAATGCCGAATCAAGCGTTGCAGTTACCACAACACCCAATGGTACCTCTAATGCAAATAACAAATCCTAATTCAGTGCAAAATATGGCTCGGACTCAAGCGGCAATGTATTCTGTGAATCATCAAGTCATTAATAATTCAAATTATCAGAATATTACTTCAGAAATGAGCCATCAAACTTACTCCAGCCAAAATAATCAGTATTTTTCTCTCCAACATCATAACACTCATGCTAAACAGCCGAGTGCGGTAAATTCACAAAATATTAATTTATTCCATCAAATGACAGCTGCACCAGCACCCAGTATGTCATTATCGCAAAATGTCCAAGCTATTCATGCCAATGTGAATCAATATCAAGTGAGTCAGCCGTCTGTTACTGTTAGTCAAAGTGCAACAGCCGCAACAGCAACGCACACTGCAGTGAATCAAGCTCCGACATTTTCAAACACAAATACTAATTTGACTGAACAAACTAGTGCTGTTAATTTGAGTAAAAATTCAGGAAATGAAGTTCAAGTTGTAACTCAGGTTAGAACTCAAGCGACAACTTATGATCGACAAGTCTCGGTAATTCAGTCTCAAGCTAGTGATAATCAGACTACGATTAGAACACAAACTTCTGCTGTTAGTAATCAAGTTCCAGTGGTTAATAATCAAGTTCCGGTGGTTAATAATCAAGTTCCAGTGATTAATAACATTTCTATTGTTGATAGTCAAGTTAATGTTAACTCACAAGCACCAGCTTTGTTTCAAAGCCAAACTTTGACCATACAAAGTCAATCTACAGTTATTGATAATCCGCCGCTAGCTCAAAATAATATTCTAACTAATAATGTTATTATAAATAATGAAACACAAGTTGCGAATAATAAACCTAATAGTGGAGAACAGATAGACAGGCCTGTATTTATTTGGTGCATTGCGCTGGCTCAAATTGATAATTCAACTGCTCAAAATTCACCAAGTAATAATAATACAGCTTCTATAACTGAAGATTCTGTAAAAAATACACCTTTAGTGAATGAAAGTAACAATTTAAATAAACAGGCTGAAAATTCGAGTTTAAACGCTAATAATTTACCTGAAATTTGTGAAGAAATGAATGTAAATGATGAAGAATCAGCTTCAAATGCTGTCACAAAATCATCTGAAGATAATCTGAGTTTGGTAAATAAAATTCCTGATGTACCGACAGCTGCAGTACCGACTAATAGTAAAGAAAAATCTTATGAAAGATTGCCGTTGAAGAAACGGTTGAATCAGGACTATAATACTCAACAATGTTCACCTACAAAAAAATCCAGGGATCGGGTAGAAGTTAATAAAGTGATTTTTAATTATGGATCTGAAGCTATGGCTATTGATTCAACGGAAAATAATTCTGCAGATAAAGAAGATTTAATAAAAAGTAGTGAAGATATATGTAGCAGTGTTTTAAAAGATAAAAGTTCTAAAGAAGAAAAAGTTCTTGATCATCAGCCGGTAGTATTGAATATAATTCCAGAAAATGAGCTTGTTTTATTGTCTGGGTCAGATGAAGACACTAATAATGAAAGTAGAGAAGAAATGGCGACTAATATTGATCAGATAGAAAAATTGGTTGTTGATTTTATTCAAAATAAAGAAGAAATGTTGTTGGGTAATCAAGAAATATTAGATATTGAAGCTAATAAGGTTGATAAGGGTAAAAATCAACAATCTGATTTATTGCAACAAGAACTGGATGTAGAAAATGAAGTGTCTAGTTCAACGGAAATAAATACAGTGAATAAAACAAGTTTAGAAGTAACTAAAAAGGTTGATGCGGAAACTGATGTCTCAACAAGTTTTGATGATAAAAGTTGCAAGTCGAAGCAAATAGAATTAGTGACGCTTGATAGCGATGAAGAAAGTGATGATGAAGCTAACATTGAAACAGAAGTTGAAGATAATGATGAAGATGATAATGGTAATGATGATAGTGATAATAAATCTCACTCTACTGTTCCGGCTACGCCACTCAAAACTGACCCGGAAGAAGAAATAGGAGAAGAAATGGAGGTAGAACAATTTAAGTACACCCAGTCGTCAATTGATGAAGAAATAGACTGCGTTGCTATTGCTAATAATTCTTCAGTGGTTGAAAAGCCGGCTGAGGATAATAATAAAGATGATGATGTTGATAATCAAGAAAGTTCTATTCCGCTTATCATGGGAGTCTGCAGCATCACTGAAGATGCTTTTGAGACTATTGATAAATCTGTGGCGCAAGTTATGATGGAGGATATAGTTGATGTTACTGATCAAGAAAAAAATAGTGTCGCTTTGGACAATGGAGATAGTGAAGATATCATTAAATTGGAATAAGAGATTTAGTTTATAAGTTTTGATCTCGGATAATGTAAAATAGATTTATTTATTTAGTTATTTTAATCTTTAAATTAAAACTCTTTAAAGCGAAGACTGTGACGTAGTGACATAGTATTATAAATTATTTTTGTTTACTTAGTGTAGAATACTTTAACAGTTATTTAAATAATTAACTCAGTGTTAATGTTTTGATAATCCAAAGTTTAGATAACAGGTACTACTGTTTTTCTTTTTTTTATAATTTTTTATTATCTTTTACTTAAATTTATAAGTTTGTTATTTAAGTTAAAGTGTATTACAATAATGAAATTAAATGTATTTTTTTAAATGATAAAATAATTAAATTATTGTATTAAATACACATTGAACCAAAATAAGTTTTTTTTTTAATTACCTTACTACTAATTATTATTATTAAATAAATAAAAATTTTTTATTTTTACTCGCATGTAATTTTAATATTAAAAAAAAATTTTTATTTTATAAATCGATAAGATTAATTAAATTAAATTTATTATTATATATTAATTAATAAAATTAAATAAATAAAAAATATAAATTATATTTTTGTAGGAATAAAATAAATATTGAGTCGAATTAAATGTGTTTATTAATAATCACCATTAATACAATGATTATTGTTTTCTCTTTATTTTTTTTAAATCATTAATTAGCTTTCAATTAACTATTTCTATTAATTTACTGTATAATTAAAGTTAGAAATAAATTATTTTTTGTGGGCGTTGGGGCCGTGGGGCCATGGAGCTTCGTAGCCGATTCCAGGGACTGCATTGCGCTCTGGGTTGTGGAAGAGAGTGTGTTTTCCATCACCCCATGGGAAAGGCTATAAAAAAGAATAGTTTATTTGTGTGGTAAGTATACTAAATTTTTTTTAATTTATTTTAAAAATAAAATTTTATCTGCCATGAAATTTAAAATTTGAATAAAATCAAAATTTTTAAATAATTCAATATAATTAAAAAAATAAAATTGTAAGAATTATATTTGGGATTAAAATTAGCAGTCACTATAAAATTTTTTAATTTTTTTTTAAAGAACATTGCTCTAAAAAATTATTTTTAAAAAATTGCATTTTTTATTTTTTAAAATTTGTAAGTCAATTTAAAAAAAAAAAAATTTTTTTTTGTCATTATTTGTTATAAAATTCTTAAAATTATTAAATATATGCTAAATTAATTTCCATGGATTATATTATTTTTTTAGATAAATATTTTTAATGAAAATTAAGTTAGCCGACATCTAAAAATTTTTAGAATTTTTTTTATTTGAAAAAATTATTATAAAAAAAAATTTCATTCGTGAAAAACTTGAAGAACTAAGAAGTGCAATTTTTTAAAAATATTTTTTTATTCAAATTTAATTATTGAAACAGAATTAAAAAATTAAAAACGTCGGCTAACTTTAGTACCTATTATATATTTTTGACATTAATTTATTAAAATTAAATAATAATTCAATAATTTATATCAAGTATTTATTTTTGTGCTGCTCAATTTATGATCATAATAAATTTATATCAATAATTAATTTAAAATTTTAAAAAAGTTAGTTTACTTTTGTTTAATTTGTGAAATAAAATCTCAAAATTAAATAAATAAAAAAAATACTATTTTTAGTTTAATTTTTTTTATGACACTGAAGTTAGCAGACGTCTAAAAATTTTTGATTTTTTTTTATTAATTAAATTACAACTAAAGAGATATTTATAAAAAATTGCACTTATAGTTTTTCAAGTTTTTTACATGTGACAATTTTTTTTTTAATGTTTAATTGATGTTTTTTCAATAAAAAATTTCTAAAAATTTTTAAATGTCAGCTTAGACATTTTTAACTTCATTTTCATTTTTTTTTTTTTTGTGAATTGAACTACTCAATACCTTGTTCATGATGTACATGTGGTCATAAGGAATGTACGGTGGTCTTTCAAGAGTTTCCTCTTCCTCCTTAGTCAGCATGTACGAATTAATCATGCCCAAAACAACTGATGGAAGGGCTACGAAGTATGTTAGCAATTCCCACATTCTTCTTGTCTCTGAAAATCAATGATTTTATTTACAAAAACGTTATGTAATAGGTGTAACCTATAAGCTTTGAAGAACTAAAAATAAATAACTGAGTATATTTTTGTGAAAATAATAAATAATAAATGTTTAATAAAATGTTTTTTTGATCTGAATGTTCTAATTTATTATAAATATACTAAATATACCTGGAAAATTAATTATGAATAAATGAAAATAAAATAAGTGATTGAATAAATTAATTAATAAATAAATAAATTACTTACTCTCGATATTTTTAGGTCTGTGGTATCCAGGTACAAATGACATATCAGTAACATAATTACGAGCTAAAATACGGCCCGTAAAGAGCAATTTCGACGCCATTTTTTCACTTGCTGTTTTCTATCCAGAATACTCCGAACTGCGACACTCGACACTCGACAGTGAAAATCCAAAGGAGAGTGAACGTAGCCATATTTGAATCGATAACTCGAAGTCAAAATATATCGATTCATTAAATTTTACTTATTATGTTAGCCGACGTTTTTAATTTTTTGTTGTTTTTTTCATTTATTAAAAATTATAACTACAAAATATTTTTTAAAAATTGCACGAGTAGTTTTTAAAATTTTTTACAAATTAATTTTTTTTTTAATAATTTTTTCAATAAAAAAAAATTCTAAAAATTTTTAAATGTCGGCTAATCATTTTTTATTATAAATTTATGTAAAATAACTTAAAAATTATTTTATCTTGCATAAATAATTTATTTTATTTATCAAAATAATTTTTTTTTATTTTCAATCTTAAAAAATTAATCATACTTACCTATCTCATACTTTTTGACTTCACGAAAGCCTTTGACTATGTGAAGCCTGAGGTTCTGTACATCACCATGTATGAAATGGGTCTCTCAATCGAGGTTATAAGCTGGTTTCAATCCTATCTGACGGGCAGATCACAATCCACACTCAACGTGGACTCTAATCCATCAAATGCTATCAGCACTACATCTGGTGTTCCTCAAGGATCTATCCTGGGACCAATTCTCTTCCTAATTGTCATTAATGGAATATCGAAGAAATTAAATCACTCCAAACACGGACTATTTGCGGATGACAAATACGCTTATCTTCATTTTAAGCTCCCACAGCTAAATGATGCCGCAAATAAAATTATAACTGATGGTAAAGCAGTAGTTGATTGGGCTAAGGAGGTAGGCCTTGAAGTAAACTTCCAAAAAACTAAAATTATGATCTTAGGAAGTAGTAGAAAACTTAAACACCTAGAAAGCTGTATTCTTCCTCAAATAATCATTAATGGTAACATTATTCCTTATGTGAACTCAACCAAACATCTTGGTATTCATTTGACAAACAATCTCTCTTGGGATGCTCATGTGGCTCAAATAGCTCGGAAGGTTTATGCTACTTTAAATTGTCTGAAACACAGGAAGAATATACTATCTACCTCTACTCGCAAACTCCTAATTACAGCGACTGTTATTCCAATTATTGAATATTGCTCCTTAGTACTAATAGATTCATCTAAAAGATTGGATTATAAACTGCAACGTCTTTCTAATAATTCGATTAGATTTATCTACAATCTAAGACATGATGAGCATATTACTCCCCATAGACAATCGCTAAAGTGGCTTACGATCAAATCCAAAAGACGTTACTGTTTGGCATGTTTCTTCTATAAACTTCTTAATATTGGTAAACCAAGGTTCTTAAGAGATCTCTTTATGGATGAACCTCCAGATATTAGAAGATCTGAGAGAATAGCAGCTAAAAATAACATCTCCTTTATGATTCCACACTTTTCTACAACGTCATTCGAACACTCCTTTGTGGTATCTGCTATCCGACTCTGGAAGGAACTTCCGACTGAAGTAACGAACTCACTTAGTCTTGACGCCTTTAAAGTCTGTGCCTACGAATTCTTCTTAAATCAGGAACGGGATAGCCAGACATGATTAACAATCTATTTTCTGAACCCGGTCTACTGAATCTACTAAATTAGATGATAAATTGCTATCAATGATAACATATACTAATTATTAACATACCTATAAAAAATGTGTAACTAACTAAATTATATACCTAACTATATCGACTCTTATATTATATCAAATAATCTCTAATAATTCAACTTAAAATTTTAAAACAATGTTACATATATTTATAGTTCTAACATTCATTCAACATGCTACAGTTATAAAGATATACCTTAATTATTTATTGTAATAATGTTAAACAAAATACGTGTACTTTACTGTAATTATTATGTATACACTTATGTATACTTGCCATTCAGCTATTGCTTTGGCATTAAAATTGAATAAATAAAATAAATACTGAAGTTAGCTAACAGCTGTCAATTTTTTTTAAATTTTTAACAAATCAATTATAATAAAATGCTTCTAAAAATTTTCATAAACAATTTTTTTTTTTAATTTTTAAGTGTGAAATTTTTTTTATTGTTTTAAAATTTTAAAGAAATTTCTAATGTCAGTCAACTTCACTTCAGTGCCATAAAAATACGGATAGACAATAATGATGACTACTTTATCAGTAAGTAATAAGTTATCAACTAAACTTTTATTTCCTAATTGTCTCTTGCATTATTTTTCATACTTACACATAAAGTGCGTAATAAATATACATTATACTAACAAAGTGTTTGTTTACACGCATATTTTGTACCTGTCATGTGCTAATTGTTGATTAATAATTATACAATAATTTAACTATCATTAAATAATAAAATTGTGATGACTTGCACAAGCTGTCATTTGTTTATTACTGTAAATATTATTTATTTTATTATTGCGTGACACTAAATAATATTTGAAATTAATTAACAAATAACATGCTAATTAGTCGTCGATTGATGAACAGTATTATAAATAATTATAAAGTTGTCATTCGTAATTTATTTAGATAAATAAAAATTATAGGTTAGTTTTTACTTGTTGATTGTTGATTGTTTATTTATTGATTTTATATAAATTTTTTTATATTTTTTCAGATTGAATGGGAAACAGCAATCATAAAATAGATCATTATTCTCGACGTAAATATAATAGTCAGGTAATTTTTAATTTAAAATAAAAATAAATAAATTTAATTCAAATAAATTTTTTTTTTAATTTTTTAGTGTAGCTTGAGTAGTATCATCAGTGGAAGTTGTACGGGACAATCACAATCTGTTTACGAGGAATGTAGGCCATGGTCACGAATTTCTAGACGAACGTTAGTATTTTTTAATTAAGAAATTGAATATTTAAGTGTGAAATTTTTGTTAAAAACTTTAAATATTTTAATAATGTCTTAAATTAAATAATTTATAATTATAATTTTCAATATTAATTAGTAAATAATAAATTTATTAATAGATGGACTGAAGGAACATTGAATGATCCACTGAACTCATCAAAAACAGCGTGGCCTGTACCAAAATTCGAAGCTATTTTTCTACCAGAATTTAAAGTTCGAGAACAACCAATTAATAATGAATATAATTTCATTAAATTTATCGCTAAAGGCGCTTACGGACGAGTATATAAAGTCGAAGATAACGTATCTGGAAATGTTTACGCTTTAAAAGTGATCAGTAAGTCAAAAATTATTGAAGAAAATGCAATTGAGCAAGTCAAAGAAGAGGTAAAGTAAAATAAAACTTTTTTTTTATATTCGTTAGATGAATCTCGGAAAAAATAGACCCGGAAAAATGTTAGATATGAAAGATTCATATTATTTCACTAAATACCTTAATATTGGTCTACATACCCTTACCCCTCCCTTAATATTGGTCTACAAAATGATAAATAAAATTACACCTATATATTTACAAAAATATCGATGGTCTAATTAGCAATTTGTCTAACTCCTTATTTTTTTCGAGGGTGATTTTTTAACATTTTGATGTAGCAATAGTCCAACTATAAATTATTTGAATAATTTAAACCAAAATATTAAACCTATATTAGATATTAATGACATTAAATGGGTTTTTAAAGTGATAATAAATTTTGAACTAATTGTTTTTTTCGTACGAATGGAAGATTCTCTAAAATGGAGTTAGACAATTTGCTAATTAGAACATCGATATGTGAAATTGAATAGCGAAAATAACAAATATACGCGCAATAGATCAGTGATAATAATTAATCGTACGCGAACATATATACTGCTGAAAAGTCTATAACTTATAAAGGCTTTCGCGGTTTAATTTTTAAATTATAGTAGTGCAATAATTTGCCAAATGAAATTAAAAAAAAAAAAAAAAAAACATTAGAAAGATTTAAAAGATTATTAAAAACTTACATTAAATCGAGTAATTAATTGTAATTTTATTAGATCTGTGATATGTATAACATAAATAATTAATTAATTGTAAAAAATATAGTAAGATAGGGTGTGGTGCATGCCTACACAGAATTTGTTTATATTTTGAAAACTCACAAAATTTATTTCTATACGAGTCAAGCCAATACGTTTCTTTTTACATAGAAAAATCTCTATACAAGATTAATTTTACACCGCGGCATCTATACACACATAAGAATAATAAACAGAATATCTATGCACAAGAATATCTCTCAGATTTGAATTCTCTACACAGTTTATCTCTACACAACCCTAACTTCAAGTTGTAAGCGCTTGACATTTGATTTAAGAAAAAAAAAAAAAGAATAAATAGACTATTAACACTAATACATTTATAAAAAATATATCAGTGTTAATTACTTTAATGTCACTAAAATTAATTAACATGTGGCAGTTTTTAGGATCTAATAATATAGAGATAAATTATTATAGAAAGCATTTATTAAAAAATGCTACTTGTAAAAATTAAAAAAAAATATTGATGCAATTTTTCTTAAATATTAAAATTTATTTGTTATATTAAACTAAGGAAAAAAATTATATTAATTTAAAAAATCTCTAAATACCATTTTGTAATTTTTAAAACGAATAAATATTTTTTTCATTTTTATGTAATAAAAGAAATAAAGAATTTACTCCGCGGAGATTTTTTTATAAATGTATTAGTGTTAATAGTCTCTATATTTATTCTTTTTTTTTTTTTTTTTTTTTAAATCGAATGTCAAGCGCTTACGATTTGAAATTAGGGTTGTGTAGAGATAAACTGTGTAGAGGTTTCAAATCTGAGAGATATTCTTGTGCATAGATATTCTGTTTATTATTTTTATGTATGTAGAGATGCCGCGGTGTAGAATTAATCTTGTATAGAGATTTTTCTATGTAAAAAGAAACGTATTGGCTTGACTCGTATAGAAATAAATTTTGTGAGTTTTCAAAATGTAGACAAATTCTGTGTAGGCATGCACCACACCCGTAAGATATTAAAGGTATATATAAATAAATTTTTTTATTTTAGGTGGCGATTCAAAAAGCCGTCAGTAGTCATCCATTCATCGTCCGTTCTTGTCACCACTGGCAAGGCAGGAAAACTTTATATATGCGTAATTATTTTTAATAAATAATTTTTTTACAATTTATAATAAACTAATTACAAATAAATAACGTAAAATTATTATTACAGTGACAGAATTTATCAATTGTGGTGAACTTTATTATTTAATTCGTGAGTACAAGACATTACCAGAAGAAGTCGTTAGAATTTATGTTGCTGAGTTAGCATTAGCTATAGGTAAAATCTTTAAATTTATAATTTAATAAAATTATATTTAATAATCATTCTATTAATAAAAAATTTTATTAATTATATTCAATAGATTTTCTTCACAATGCTGGCATTGTTCACAGAGATTTAAAAGCTACAAATGTGTTATTAGATAATGAAGGACATGCGGTACTAATTGACTTTGGATTAGCTAAATGGTTACGGCCTTTGCATCGTACAAATACTTTTTGCGGTACTCAAGAATATATGGGTAAATATTTATACAGATTGTTTTTTTTTTTTTTTTTTACTGAATCAAAAAATCTATTTTATTAATAAATTTATTTTTTATTTAATAAAAAGCTCCTGAAATTGTACGTAGAGAGTATTATGGTCATGAAGTTGATTGGTGGGCTTTGGGAGTTCTTACCTGTGTTCTTCTCACAAACAAGGTTTGTCAATTTTATTATTTAAATTAATTACTATTTACTAAAATACTCAAATTATTACTTTAATATTTATTAATATATTAGAAAATTATTTTTTAATCAAATTTACAATTTTAACAATTTCTTTTTTAATCATAAGTGCAAAATATTACAATATATTTAATTTATTATTTCAATATTTTCAATTTATCAAATATTTATATACAAATATCGTGTAATTTATAAATTTCTTTATTTATTTAATTTATTTAGCTGATACAGTTTTTACAATTTGAATATTTCGCGGTAAATATACGCTTGAAAAGCCTAACTACTATGTTGAATTAGCAGCAGCGATATATCATGGGACTCCGTGGCGCAACGGTAGCGCGTCTGACTCCAGATCAGAAGGTTGCGTGTTCAAATCACGTCGGGGTCAAAAATTTTTTTTATAATTTTTTTATTTTCATTTATTTATCTTTGAGTATTAAAAATTTATTTAAATATTTATCATTTAAAAGCAAAAATCGCAATTTTATTAGAAACATAAAAATAAATACAAACATAATAATTAATCTACGTATTAAACTTGAATTTTTAAAATAGATATATAGATAGATAGATAATTTTACTACATTATTAAAGGTACACTTTAAATTACAATAGAGTTCAGATTTTATATAAACATACAATGAGATTTTTTTTCTAAAGAAAAAATGAAAACGATAATTGATATCTAATAAATCGTGAAAATACTATTCAGATTGCAAAAAGATTCTCTGATTTTACAGAATTTTTCAATATAATTTTATATCGTTCTTAGAGTACTTGGATTATGCGTTTGCAGAATGTCGTGTATACTGACAGGATTAAAAATTTTTTAAATAAAATCAATCTTTAAGAGATAACAAAAAATTGAGTAACTTTTATCTATCGATAAAAAATTTGTAGGAAATTATTGATAGGATTGATAATAAATAATCAGAAAACTCAATTTTATACAATAAGAGACAATAATTTATGCCTGCTCGTGTTGCTTTGGTATCGATGAAAGTTTGGATTTATGAAAATTTGTCCAAATAAATATGAAAGTTTGTAAAAATGCTGATGAATATAAATGAATAAAAGCACAGAAAAATTTACGTATAATTGTATATAAATACAAATGATTCTATGTAAACTAGATCATCTGTTCAATTTTACAGTTGTTCATATGACCATCTGAACAAATAAAATTCCCTATTTTTAAAAATACGTACAACTAATAATATGTTTATTTGATTTCAATTCCAAAAGTATAAATGGAAAAATGAACATTACTATAAATGAAAATTTATAAATTGACTACACGGTGAGAAATTTCTGTAGAAATTTACTATGCATACATAATAAGACTGAACCTTAATGACTCAATTCAAAATATTACCATAAAAATTTAAGAATATCATATTGTACCAATCAATATTTACTAGGGACCATAGTAAATTTGACCATGTAACTGTTACATAAACATATATAAAAAATTTTCGTAAACTGACTGAACAAAAACTGTGAGTGTGCTTAAAACTTTTCATTATAGTTCCATAGTAAAATTTCTGTTACTCAGTCGACAATAAAAATTTATAAAAAAATTTGACATTTAGTCACATGTACTCGGTTTAAATTTAAAATTGTGACTATGAAATTTTCAAATGTCCCATAGTAAACGTATGCGCGTCAGTCGCGACGCACGCTCTTTCATTTTTTCGTGCTGCTTTGTTGTAAGATTCCTAAATAATAAAATATTTAATAATTTACCGTGAAAAATTAAGATGAAAACAAACATTCGATGGTTAACCTGCAACCGACACTTTTCTAATAATATATTATTATTATAATAAAAAATAATTCAAAAGTTATATATTGTGTTTATAATTAGTTATAATAAAATTAACTGCCAAAATAAATCCTACGTTCAAATTAAAAATAAAAAACAAATAAAAAAAACTATATTTTAAAAAAATATTTTTAAAAATTATTACAAACAAAAAAAAATCTTGTTTGGTTTGATATTTTTTTTGATTGCTAAAAATATTTTTTACTCTAAAATTTTTTATTTTTCACAAACATTTTCTTATTTTTTTGCTATAGTACATTCGGAAATTTAAATTATTGCATATTTCATTTCACTATGGTACATTTTAATTTCTACCGTTTGCTATGTCTGATTTCAAAACAAATTCGGAAATTACTATGGACCATTGTAAAATTTTATTCTGAGTCAATAAGATTCACTAGTAATATGCACCATTGTAAAATTAAAAATCCATGCAGAATAAAAAATAATAGAAATTTCTCACCGTGAAGAAATTATTCTCAATTCAAGAATTTTTCCTCTTGACACAAGAAAATTATTTTCTTCAAAATGGTATTCTTGATTCAAGATTTTTTCTTTTGAATCAAGTTAAATTTTTTATCAGTGTTGTTTTATATGAAAGACAATAATGATAGGAATAAACACTGACATTGTTCGGATCATTTAATTTTACGTACAACGTTCTATATCGATACGTTATAAACTGTCATTTTTAATGATTTAATGAACTTGATAATGTTACGATTATTTCATAATTTTTTTTTCATAAATTACAAAGGACGATGCTTTCATACAACACCAAGCCTCACAAAAAAATTAAACTGACAGTACATAATTTTAAATTAAAACATTTTCAGTTTAGGAAACAACGAAAGTAGTTTTTTTATTTAAAAAAATAATGAATCAAAACAATTACGAAGTTTGCTCTTTTGGTTTACCAATGATTCAATTCTCCACAGGATATGATGTAGTCCATGAAACGGAGATGGAGAAACGTGAGAGTTAGTTCAAACGCCGCGGGAGTGATGCAGCTGCTGTCTGATCGTCCCTCGGGCGTGGAGAGCTCAAACGCGGCAGTGAACGGAGAAGAGGGATGTAGGTGGGGGGAAGTTGTAGGGATGGCCTTTAGGGTCAACCGTTTTCTTAATTTTTTTAAATATTTAACGCTCTCGCACTGTCCTTAGTGAGTAAAATTTCTACTCATAAAATCCGTTTTAAACCTATAAAAGTTATACATTAAAAGTTTTAAGTTTTCTTAATTTTTAACATCCACCTACAGCCCTCTAAGGGTGAAATGTTATAAAATTCGTTCTTAATAGGTTGCAACATGCTTATAAAATTATAAGAATATATAAATTTCGTGGAAATCTTCTTTTTAACGGATATTCATTTTGACAGTTTAACTTTTGGACAAATATTCATTTTTACTGATTAACTTTAATGCAGATGTTCATTTTTATTGATTTATTTGGATAGAATTTCATTTATTCAAATATCCATTTGGACAACTTTCATTTGTACCGATCATCATGTTTACAAATGTTTATTTATACACAACCTTAAAAATACTAATGATCATAATGTCGTTTATTCATAAAATCATTTCTACATTTATTCATTACGATTATTTATCCGCAATTTCTTTTGTTCAAATAATTATAATAGTTTTTTTACATCCGGATCTATCTTTTTAAATACATTTATTTTTTTATACACTTGTATTATTAATCATTTATTCAAATGATATTTTTTATTAACTAGTCAATTTATAAATTTTCATTTATAGTAATGTTCATTTTTCCATTTATATGTGTGGAATTGAAATCAAATAAACATATTATTAGTTGTACGTATTTTTAAAAATAGGGAATTTTATTTGTTCAGATGGTCATATGAACAACTGTAAAATTGAACAGATGATCTAGTTTACATAGAATCATTTGTATTTATATACAATTATACGTAAATTTTTCTGTGCTTTTATTCATTTATATTCATCAGCATTTTTACAAACTTTCATATTTATTTGGACAAATTTTCATAAATCCAAACTTTCATCGATACCAAAGCAACATGAGCAGGCATAAATTATTGTCTCTTATTGTATAAACAAAATCGTATCGAGAGAAGTGCCGTTACTTGACAGAGTTTAGTCGCAGACTAACTAGGGTAAATACCCCTATAGATGGACAAATATTATTTCCAGAAGCAATTAAATTAGTTTTAAGAACAAAAATCTTAAGTCGTTATTTTTTTTTATGTCTACAAGTAATTCTGAGAGCGAAAAGTAATTTTTATTTAAAATAATAGTTTAAAAAAATTATTTAAATTAGACAGATAGTTGGTGGACGTTATTTGTTATTATTATTAAAAATTAATTACTACAATGTTTTACGAAGTTTTACTTAAAAACTATTTTATTGTGAAACTTTTTTTTGAAAAAAATAATTTTTATTGGTCATAAAATTTTTTTATTGTGAGGTTGACCCTCTTCTGTATTATCCTTAGTAAAACATATGTTTTTCTTCTTAACTAAAACCATAGTATTTAGTTGTACTGTACATAGTAAAATAAGGAGTCTTTTGTACAACTCACGTACCTAAAGTCATAAAATCAAGCCTTTACAAGTTTTCTTATTCTAGCTGCACAAATATGCCTTGAATGTGTTTTTTATACTTCAAAACTAATAAAATAAAATTCTATTCTTCTAAAATAAATATTTCTTTTGAAATGAAAATTCAACTCTTTTGAAATTCATTTCTTTTGAAATGAAAATTCAACCAAGTCTTTATAAATAAAATTTTTAATTTCTATTTTAAAGATTTGTAACTAAAATTTTACTTTGAAAAAAATTTTTAACTTCCCGCTAAGAAAATTGAAAATTATTTCCAATTCAATAATAAATAGCTTATAAAATTTGAGTTTAATTGAAAAATCTAAATTTTTAAAAACAAAAAAATCGCTCCCGGGTGGGCTCGAACCACCAACCTTTCGGTTAACAGCCGAACGCGCTAGCCAATTGCGCCACGGAAGCAGATGTAAGAATGCTCTTTTTACTACAACATATTCTACAATTTTCTACAATTCGAAACTTACTCAAGTATTTAAGCATTGCAAAATGCAATGACATTTTAGAATCTCCCCTTTGACCCCTTAGAACTCGTTGCCTTTCTGGTTGTCTGATTAATAGAAACGATTGCAAGTATCCCATGGTGTAAAGAATATTGAGAAATTTACACATAACGTGTCATATATGCCGCAAATAATTAGAATGCTTAAAAAATTTTTTCTCATACGTATTTACAACTAGTGTTGTTAGATTTCGTATGATAATTAACTTTACATTCTCTTATATTGTATTATGTACATACTTTATACAATATAAACCTATAAGTCGCATTTGGGTATTAATTACCTTTTAAATTATGAAACTTTTTTTTTTCAATTTATTATTTAAGAATTATCTCTATTTTATAATTTTTGCTTAATTCTGAACCAAAATATTTTTTTACTTAATTAATTTTTATTTTTTTATTTTATTTTTTCTATTTAATTATGAATTTTTTTTTTTATTAACTTGCACAAATTTTTAATTTAATAAAATTATTATAACTAAAGTAATATTCATAAATTTCCTGACAAAAATAAATAATAAAAAAAAAAGTTTTATAATTAATTTATATAAATTTTGACTTAAAATAATAAAAATTTGGAATTTAGGATAGGATTTAAAACCAAAAGGAATGAAATAAAAAAAAACAATAAACATTTTAAATAATAATTGAAAATTATTATTGTAGTAACGATGTTGATATCAATAATACAAATCGATAATAATTTTATAATATTATTGGTACCGTCACTAAACGTATTAATAATAAAAATCATATCAATAATTAATAATTAATAATAAAAATAAAAATAATAATAATAATAATAATAAAAATAATGACACGTAAGCTAGGGAAATGTAAGGAGAGAATAAAATTCTGAATGTGCATGGGGACAAAAAAAAATAATAAAATAAAGGAGAGTAACAAAAAAACAAATGGACTCGGAAAATTTAATGAGGACAAATGGACAGTATGGATTAGGGGTGGTATGTAATATATAAAATGGAGAGAGTTATTAATGTAATTAATAAATTGGTGAGTGAGTGAGCGAGCGAGTGAGTTAACGATAAAAGGTGAGATGATTAAAAAAAATATAATAATAATAATAATAATAATAATAATAATAATAATAATAATAATAGTAATAATAATGTAAGGAGAGCTGATCGTCGCGGTGAACATCAATCGATAATTGTTCAAAGCGACGAAATATTATCACGGAGTCCCGAGCGGTTCGAGCTCGAATTAAGAGAGAATCTTTTTTCTTAAATAATTATTAATTAAATTAAAAAAAAAAATAATGTCTCTTTGAGGTCGCAGCGCGCTAGGGACCGTGAGGACAACTCTTGTCTTTAATTATATTATTACATATAAAATCCATCGTATTTTGGTCCCTCTCACCATCTCTCTCCTTAATCCAACAGCCGTCGTTATTTCGATTATTCTTATATCATCATTCAACCATTTTAACATACATTCAAAATCGTTCAAGCATACTAATTCGATAATTCTAGCCCATTCTTTTGTCTTTCACTCGTTCGTTCGCGTCTCTCTCTCAAGTTTTAATTTCTTCGTTTAATAAAGTTTTAAAAAAGATGGGTCAGTGAATGCAGACCAGAAAGCGCCTGATCTTCCTCGAACTTTGGAACTGATCAGCTCAATTTTCCTTCAACTCCTGAGGTTTCGGGAGCTCCTCAGGCTTTGAGTCTAGCTTCTTAGCTTCAACAGGCTTGATCTCCGCAGGCTTTTCTTTCTTCTCTTCCTCGCTGGACTTGTCTTCCTCGCTGGACTTTTCCTCTGAAGAATTCTCGGCTTTTACAGCTTCGATGGTCTCTTTGGCAGCCTCGGTGGCTCCAGACTTGGCAATTATCGTCTCAGCAACAGGCACTGGCTTGGGTTGCGTCGATTCAGCAACAGCTGCAGGCTCAGAAGCTTGGGGCTGTTCTGCAACAGCTGGTTCAGCAGCAACAGGTGCACTTTTTCCTTGACTTACTGGTTCAGCGGCTTTAATGTCACTAACTTGTTCCTTTTCCTTCTCAGCTTCGATAGTTTTTGGCGCAGCAGCAACTGCAGAAGCAGATTCAGCAGCAGCAGGAGCAGCAACAGGTTCCAAAGCCTTCACACTGGGCTCTTCTTTGATTTCTTCTGGCTTCTTTTCTTCTTTGGCAGCCTCGACAGCTTCTACTTTCTTGTCAAAGGTCTCGTGAGCAGGCTCCTCTTTCTTCTCTTCGAATTTCTTCTCAGGCTCGTCAGAAGCAGCTGCGATTTCCAAAGCGGGTGCGGGTACCGCTGGAGCAGGAGCAGGAGCAGGAGCAGGAGCAGCAGCAGCAGCAGCTGGTGAAGCTTCCTCGGTTCCGCGAGTTACACGGTCAGTTTTGTCATCGGCTTTAGCTTCTTTCTTGGATTCTTCTTTCTTTTCTTCTTTCTTCTCTTCCTCAGCGACAACTGGCTCGACGGCTGGCTCTTTAGCGGGCTCAGCTTGAACGGGGGTCAACAGCTCGGGGATTACTTCCGCGGATTTCACAGCTGGTGCAGCTACTGTTTCACTGGCAACTGGGCTCTGGACCTCTGCTGGCTTTTCTTCAGTCTTTGGCTCCACGGCTTCTTCTTGCGGGGCACTTTTTCCGATTGGTACAATTGCTTCCGGCTGAAATAAATCAATTAATTATTCTTCATTCAATCAATTAATTAATTGCATAAATAAGACCAAAATTTTTGCCTTAAATAAATAGTTTTTATTTTGATATTAAGGCGAAAATATTGGATAGATAAAAAAGTTGTAGGAAAATTTAATTTTTAACAAAAAATGTCTCCTGATTTTTTTATACAACCAATATTCTCACTGTAATTTGAAAATTAAGATTGATAATGAATAATTCATTTTTAATGAAATATTTATAGTAATGAATGATTGAAATTTTTATATTAAGGAGAAAATATTGGACAAGAAAAAAGTTTGAAACAAAAGTAGGAAATTTAATTTTTCACAAAAAATGTCTTATGATTTTTTTATACAACCGCACTGATAGAAGGATTTATTTATACACTGAAAAAAAAATTAACTTGATTCAAGAGAAAAATTCTTGAACCAAGAATATAATTTTGAAGAGGGTAATTGTCTTGAATCAAGACGAAAAATTCTTTAATCAAGTAAAATTTCCTTAAATCAAGAATATTAACTTCTTTAAAATTATATATTTGATTCAAGAACATTTTTTTCTGTGTATAAAAAAATATTTGTTAATAGTTAATTTATTAGAGACCACTTTTTAGTATTAAACAAATATTTCTTCGTATTTAAAATATTAATAAATCTGATATTAATTTATTAATATTAATAAATTTTTTTAAATACTAACAAATATTTGTTAAGGACTGAAAAGTGGTTTTTAATAAATAAAATATTGCCAAATATTTTTAACTATAAACAAATCCTTCTATCGGTGCAATATTTTCACTGTAATTTCAAAATTAATAATTCAAATTTTTACTAATTATTAAAATCTTTATTTTAAAATTACACTGATAGAAGGATTTCTTAGCATTTAAGAAGATTTCATTATATTTAAAAAAAAATAAAAAAAATATTTATTAGTATTTAAGAAATATTTTTTAAATACTAAGAAATGATGTTTAAGAAATGATTTCTTAAATACAAAGAAATCTTCTTAAATACTAAAAAATTCTTCTATCAGTGTACGGCTTTCTGATTAGTCCTGAGAGAAAATTATAAGAGCCATTTTTTTTTTATAAAATCAAATTTTCACAACTTTTGTTCAAAAATTTTTAGAACCAATATTTCCGTCTTAATATCAAAAATTAAATTAATTATGCTAAAATCAAGGCAAAAATCCTTTAAATGCACAAAAATTCATCAAAAAATTTCAATAAAAACCTACTTTTGATTCAACTGGTGCTGGAGCAGCAACTGGAGCTTCAACGAGAACAATACTCTCAGGAACAGCCTCCGCAGCGACGGATTTTAATTTTTCTTCTTTCTCTGGCAGCTCTTTCTTCTCATCAAGGATAATTTCTTTCTTCTCCTCAGCAGGCTTGGCCTCCTCCTTCTTTTCTTCTGTCTTCTCCAGCTTCTCGGGGATTTCTTCAGGCTTATCAGCGAGTCTGGCTTGCTGATGCTGGTGTTCATGAGCCTTGTGAGCCTCCGGGGTCTCGTTTTCCTTGTGTTCGCTAGGAGTAGGTGCTGGTGCAGTTTCGACAGTCTCTCGCCTGAGCACGTGTTGGGCGGAACTCTTCTCCAACGGCACCACTGGAAGCGGCTCTCCCGGCTCCGCTACCGGCATCACCATCACAGTTTTTACTGCCAAAGCGCATACTAATGCTGCCAATATAACCTTCATTTTGTCTTCTTGTCTAAAAAAAAAAAAAATAAAAAAAAAAAAAATAAAAAAAATAAAATAAAACAAAATATAATCATTTAATTTAATTAAAATTATTAATAAAAGTTTTTTGTTAGCAGTAATATTCAAATTAAAATTTTAGATTGAAATGATTGATGTTACTAACGGACACTAGGCACGAGACAAGGGATTAGAGAGAGTTTTATTAAATATCTTCTATAAGGGGTCGTTGACGAGGATAAGTGACATTGAACTGAATGCTTTTAACGTCGAGTTCTATCGAGTTAATGACAGGATGCGACATTCATTTTAACACTCTAAGCTGTCAAATTATTAGTCAAATATAATTTAGATTTTTTATTAATAAATTAAATAAAATAAAATAAAATAAATTTGCTTAAAAAAAAAAAAAAAAGTTAAATATTAAATAATTTTTGAGTTAATAAAATAAAACGGAGATAGTAATTTATAACACCAAGCGTGATAAAAGGAAATGCCATTGATTATGTTAAACCCCGCTATTACTTCATCAACTGTATCAGATGTAATAACAACCAACAAAAAGAGTAAAATTATTTTTAAAAAAAATATTTTTAGTAATTTCATAATATTTTGCGGTTTTAAAAAATTAGTGGATTAATTTTAATATTTGTTAAATAGCTTATTAATTTTGATGAGTTATTGTGACAATAATAACAATTACGGCAAAAGTTGTTGCATTACTTTATGATAATAACAAGAGAGCAAGTTATTGCTAAATTTCCGAGATCCTTGTTACGTTACGAAACCCTTTTTTTCATCTCTTTATAAGGAGTTACTTAAATTCACTTGCAATTTATTCAATTATTATTTTTAATTATTAATTATTGAAATAAAAGACTCAGTTATTGACACTGAACTAGTTATTTGACACTTGCAATTTTATTCTAATTAAAAAAATTAAATGTTCTAAAAAAAAACAATTTTTTTGTAATTTATAATTTAAAAATATTTATTAATTTATTTAAAAAATATTTATTAATTTATTAAAAAAATAATTATTAATTTATTAAAAAACTATTTATTAATTTATTAATTTATTAAAAAAATGTTTATTAATTTATTAAAAAAATATTTATTAATTTATTTAAAAAATATTTATTAATTTATTAAAGTTGATTTTTTCTTTTTAATTAAAATAAAATTGCAAGTGTCAATAATTAGGCCAGTGTCAATAACTGGGTCTTTTATCTTATCACAAAATATTCAAATAAAATCAAAGATAAATTTTTAAAAAAAATTAATCAAAATTAATACTCACTTTGAAATTCTAGTTAAATTGATCCTTAATCACGAAACTCCTTAATCTCCAAACTGGACAAAATATATAAAACCAAATAAACGTTCGCGTATAAAATCTTATATTTATTTACATATATATATGTATATATTTATATATATATATATATATGTATATATATATATAAATTTAACGGAGGGACCGTAGCAGGCGATCGTGAGGAAGATTGGGTCGTGTGTCGAGACAGAATCGACGATCCGCGGTTTATATACCCCGGTCTGTAGCTACCCAACAACTCTTCGGGTCGTACCGAGGGACCCCGAACGCTTCCTCCCGCTCCTCTTTTTACTCCTACATCTGCTTCAGGGGACCAGCCACCAGCCATCCGCAGAAACTTCTCCCTCTTTTCTCTTTATAAATAATAAGACTCTTCAAGATCTTTCTTACCTATATTCCATCTTCTTTCAATCCCTATTTTTTATTTTGGAAATTTTCCATCAGATTTATCGCCTCAGTCCTTTTATCGTCCTCATATGACCTCTTATCATCTTCAAATGTCTTCTTATTACCAAAAAAAAATACCCTTATTTCTTCTGCGTCTTGGTACCACTAAAAAATAGTAATACTTGTTTAAATATCAATTATTAATTATTTAAAATTTTTTCTTCTTAAATCACTTAAATCTATCTTCTCTTTACAGATACGACTTATTTTAGAAAATTATGAGCTTAAAATTTTATTTTTATCACAATTATTTGAACAAGACAACAAATCGATAACTTTTCTTCACTAAATAACGAAATTAGATTCACAAGTTGTATATTAGTTTATCATGTTAATTATTAATCAAAATTTTTTTGATAAAATATTTTAAAATTGGTTTGAATTGCTCTAATTATTATACTTATCATTATTACTCTAATAATTATTACTTTTCAATAGAATTAAGAATTATATACACTGGTAGAAGGATTTATTAACTATTAATAATTTAATTTATTTGAAGACAATTATTTAATTTATTAAATTATAATAAATATTTTTTAACATTCAATAAATATTTATTTGGAAGGAAAGTAAATTTATTAATAGTTAACAAATATTTATTAACAGTTAATAAAAATTTTCTTTCGCTTGCAATGTCATATATAATATAAAGATTGCTTGTAAATAAAAATCTTTATAAATTATTTGCATTAATTATATTACATTATAATAACGTTTATTGTAAAGTACCAAATTCTATCACAGCTCATAATTGTCTTTTATATTTTTAAATATTAAAAAGGTTAATTTATTTAGTGAATTTAATTATTATCATATATTCCAGCTATAGGATTATAAAAAGTGTCAAAAGAAAATTGCTACTTTTGCTTTTTATTTTAAATAAATATTTGTTAACAGTTAATAATTTGTACTTAATAAATTACTTACTAACTGTTAATAAATCGTATTTAATAAATAATTTATTAACTGTTAATACTTATTTATTAAATCCTAATGTTAAAAAATCATCTATTAACAATTAATAAAGCTTATTAAATATTAACAAATTTTTTTATCAGTAAATTTGTTTTAAATATTTAAATTCTCGTCCATATTAAAAATATTTTAAATAACTTAATCTTGGGGATTTGTTTTACTAAAAAAAAAAAAAATAATAATAATAATATTAATTGTTTTTTTTATCACATCTATTAACTAGATATAAATAAAAATTATACAAGGATGTTAATAAGAGTAACTATTGTTAATTTCATTTATTTTTATTTTATATGTCAAATATTTATATTAAAAAAATTTTTTTGATTTTTAGTTCGCCTGATGAAACGAAACGTTGCAATTCTTATAATTTAACTTCTTAATTTATTGTCCAAATTCCCAAAATTAAGTTATTTAAAAAATTGTTTTTATTTCGGGGATCGACTCTTTGTTGATTTAAAAAAAAAAAAAACAATTTTATTTTAAATTTATTTCGGTCTGAATTATTAATTGATAAATTTATAAAAATTTATTCCTGGCACTAACGGTTTTATTGATTTATTTTTTTGATAATATATGCCATAAATTTAATCCGCAAGTATATTTTTAGTTGTAAAAAAAAATTCCGTAAATAATATGCTTGTTAATTGTGACCTACTTAATGTTCCCATGATCATAGATTATAGACACGGAATATAAAACAACAACAACAACAAAATTATATTTATATAATTATCTGTAATTTAAAGACGTAGGTGTCGTTTCCTTTAAATTTAACAGTTTGTTTAATTAACTTTAACGTTTAAACACTGACTCATTTGTTAAATAATTATCTTATTGTTAGTGTTATAAATTATCACTAATTTTATTTCACACAAGCAGTTTCCAATTGCTAAGCGTCTTCTTTCATTCGTCATTGAATATCGCGAGACAATGATAAAAAAAAACGCGTTTGTATTAATAGCTGGGTTTTTTTTTTTTATATTATTACTTCCGTAGTATTTAAATGTGCGTATATTTGTTAAAGAGGTGATTTATATATTTATTTTGTTTTATTTTGCTATTCTAAGTTAATAGTTTCGTATAACCAGTGATTGCTAACCGTTACGTCCCGTTAGTAAGATTGCAATATAGAGGCGGACAAGGATAAAAAGAGCCAATATTTTATTTTTACGGGTTGTGGCATTAATCTTATTTCTAAAAATATAGAAGTTAATAAAGACTGTTATTAAATAACAACCATACTAATATAAATTAGTTATAGTTATACTTTTTTCTGTAAGGTTCTTCAATTGGATAAATAGTTGCTGACATTGTAGAAATTACTTTTAGAAATATTAAATAATTCTTCGCTTTAAATTTTAGTGATTAATTTATTTTTTAAGTCAAAAGGTCACTAATTTTTAAGAGCGACAATTATTTAACTATTTTTACATAATTTTGTTTTTTTTAATGAAAATTTTATTTATTAAAAATATTTTTTTAAATAAAAATTTTATTTATTAAAACTATTTTATTTTATGAAAATTTAAATTTATCTTAACGCGCAAATTGGTGTTAAAAATAAAAATAAATAATGCGTAGTTTCAAAAATATATTTAGAAGAAATGACTTCAGTTTTATGTTTAAATATTTTTTTTTATAAATTTTATTTTATTAAAAAAAAAAAAAAAAAGAGAGTTCTAAAAGTAAAAAAAAAATTTTTAATCTATTCCTTTGACCTCAAGAGAGTTCTAGATCGAACTAGAAGGAGAAAAAATGATAATAAGCAATATAAACACTAAATATTATTGTTTCAAATAGTAAATATCGTCATTTCAATGATTAGATAATAAAATTTATTATTTTATTTTAGTGATAAATTTTGTGTTAAAAAATTTTAAATACTCAAAATTACAATATAATTATAAAAAAAAAGTTTATTTAATAATTTTTGAGATCTATTAAAAAAAAAATTTTTTTATTTATTACAAAATAAAATAAGATAAAAAATTTTTAGTTTTAATAATTTAATAAGTCCGATAAAAATAAAAAAATTTGAAGTCATTGACATTAAAGCCGAGCTCAGAATCCAATAAGTGATCTAATAACTATCCTTTTTTTGCACAATTATATCTTTTAAATCAGTACCGATAATTGCTGCAAAATTAATGGGTCTTTTTTTCACTACAGAAACATATACTTTAAACGCCCGTTAAAAATTCTAACCAAAGATAATCTCCGCCATTAATCTGTAAAAATTTATTGCGCAAAAACTGATCTATTAAATTTTACCCCTTGAAGTATAAATAATTATTTTAAAACACGGGGATAAAATTTCAGCGTAATTATTTTGTTTGAAACAAAGAAAATCATTGGGAATAAATTTTCTTATGAGTTAAATGTGTTTTTCTAGCACACAAAGGTTGGAAAAATCTTATGTAACGTATATGAAGATAAAGAAAAGTTCGGGGGATTTTTTTTGTCCCCTAACCATTTTTTTCTTTCTTCTTCTTCTTCTTCTTCTTCTTCTTCTTCTTCTTCCCACAATCTGGAACAATGTAGTTTCTTTTGAACTAACGACCAAAAATAGGGGAGATCCTTCTTTTTAGTCTCGGGAAAATTTATTTTTTAAAATCAATGCCGATTCTCAATGTCAGACATTTTCTTCAACAAAAACTTCCTTGTGATTTAATTAAGGAAAAAAATGAACAAGATACATTAAAAAATTATAGTTACCGATCCATAGATAATAAATGTTATTTTTTTTTAAATAAAATCCTGCATAAAATATATAAAATTGATTACACTTAGATGGCTGTTAGCCTTATGATCTTTTACAGTCGAGTGACCAATACAAGGTCACACTTAGTTTATGCGCGTTCTCTTCTAATGCATTCCCTTGCATTGGCTCGTGCTTCTTTTGCAGTACATTGAACGTACATTTATATTTTTAATATTTACAAGCACATCCACACACATACATTAGTATGTAATACATCGGAATATGTTAATGTGAGTAATATTTAAACGCAGAAAGAAAATTATTACACCTGAATAATATAAAACCTTTAAGTTTGTAGATTCAACATTTCCTTCTGTGGATATTCATTTTTTTTTCTTCTATATTATTATTTTTTTCCATTTTTATATGAGATAAAAATAATCTCTTTCATGTAATTACATTATTTTATTTTTAGTTTATTCATATTAAATTTTAATGATCAAAACTATTTTAAGAATAATATTAAATTTATAAAACGATCGTCTTAAGTTTAAATTTATCTCAATACACAATCCGGTTTTCCCTGTTGTGTGTGTCGCTTTTATGTGTGAGTCGGTGTTAGAAAGCCCTTCAAAGTTCGGTCACACGATAGTTTTTGTATCAGGTTTTTACGTCTATTTTTAGACAATTTTTATTCATCTACTACTAAGAGATTTTAAGAAAGAAAACAGACCGGGGGTTCAAATTTTATAAAAATACGGAAAAATATTGAGGGGAATGAACCATTTGAAAATCTCTGTTCATATATAAGGAAAAAAATATAAGATAACTAACTAAACAAAGAAAAACAAAAAAATACAAGATTTTTTAATTTTTTTTTGTGTAAAATTTCTATAACTAGACTCTTTAGTTAACAAATAAATTATGACAAAAAAAATTTAGAAAATAAATTGACATAAAAATTTAAAAATTAAAAATGTAATCTTTTAAACCAAATTTGTTTGTTAAAAAAAATTAAAAAATGCTCAAGATTGCTAACTTTAATGTCATTTTTTTAAATATATATTAGAAGTAAACATTTCTTTACTTTCTTTTTAAATATTTCTGGCAAATTACACTTATTTTTTTTAGATTTCTTCTTCGTTGCAATGTTTGATATCAAAATTTTGTTTTCTTCTTAAGAAATTATTTTATTGAAA